TAACAAATTAAACTTTTAATGCTGCATATTGTTCACAATTAAAAATTAAACAACATTAGCTTCGTAAACCTGTTCTCGTTTGATAACAGAAGTTAAGCTGTCTTAGCCTGATTTAACACTGGGATGGGTGAACGCCTAGGAAAACATGGGCGGCCATAGAATACTTTGACAGTCTTTTTAGTTCAGTATTTGCTAATTCTTATACAAATTCTTTACATTTGTGCAAATTGAGGACCCTGAGATAAAACTAAATGGACTACGCTAATTTTTTAAAATTTGAACAAGTTGGCCACTATCCTAACCCCTACCCAATATAGCCATCTATTTTCTGCAATTACCCCCCCCTCCTCCCTCTGTTTGTGCAAGCGAATCACGACAACCACCGATTAATTATCCGCAAAAATACAAGAAAGAAAACAACATTCCGGTTCAGACATTAAACCCCCNTCCAAACCTTTTATAGACAGCTTATTATTCTATCTGGAACCACCAAGCGATACATTAACACAACATCAATTCAAGGTAAATTCTTTTCTTACAGGCTTTTCTTGGATTTTAGAATTTTTACAAAGTTTTCATGTTTTTAATCAGTCTTGTGGTATTTTTTTATATAGGCTCTACACAAGAATCTAATAAAATTTTGTCAGAATTCAATGCTCTGTACTCTAGGTTTTATTTTGTGTTCTACTATAACCCCCTCTCCTCCTCCCTCCCCCTCACCATTTCACTCATTAAATAATTGGCTGACATGAAGTCCTTCAACTCTGTTCAGCATTTCATGGTTATACCTGGAATATGGTTTCTTTATTCTAGAAAATGCATAGCGCAGGAAACTAAGGAACTCGGAATTTAAAACCTAGTTTTGTTTACAAGTTTTTAAATCAAACTAATTCTTTCTTATCGAGACTGTAAACATGATTTAAAGTAATCTTCAGATTCACATTGGTACCCATTACACCTTAGCTCATCAATAAGATTGGTTTTCTTAGCTTGAAAAGTGTTTAATTCTTAAAATTTCTTTTAAAGCTTCTGAAGTCAATTTATAAAGAAACCAAAAAAGGGTAAAAAAATATGGATATCTCGTGCATTCTTGGTCAGACAAAGCTTTAAAGGGAGTGTTCACGAAAAATGAAAGGGGGTATAGGTTTGCTGCTAATCTTACTTCTATCTGTTGCGTTTATGAGGAGAAAATTGTTAAAAACGACTTACACCGAAGAATGTAGCGTCCATACAAATTCGGAACATTCATCTCGGATCGTAAACAAATCGATTTAATTCCAGACAAATCATTCAGACATTACAAACAATAGTCATCGATTATTTTTCCACGCATTCGTATACAGTTGATATTTCACAATATTTTTTTTATTTTTCATAATCTGAGAGTTACGTTTGAAAACCTTTATTCCTGTTTCGGTGATTTTTGACAATTAAGACGACTTTTTCATATTTTCCAAGAATTTTCGCAAATCCAGCGCCCGCGAAATATTATTTTTAAATAACAAAATCAAAAATATTATAATGAAATATTGACTTTACAAGAATGCGTCGAAAAATAATCTATGACTATTGTTTGAAATATCTGATTGATTTGTTTAGAATTAAATTGATAATTTTGAGTTAAATGTTGCAACTTTCCGAATTTGTATGGACGCTGCGTTCTTCGGTGTGAGTCGTTTTCAACAATTTTCTCCTTATAGACGTAACAGATAGAAGTAAGATAAATAGCAATCAAAGGCGCTTATTTTTCGCCGCAAGCCTATACCCCCTTTCATTTTTGGCGAATACTTCCTGTAAGACTATCGCTATTAATCGAACATGACAACCACTCTAGTCTATTCATAGAGGGTTACTTGAAATTACATGTTAAGCCGAAACGTTTCCAAAATGACCTTGGGCTGCAGCAGAGCTGGAAAATATTAAAATATTGAAAACGAATATTGGAAACAATGTCTAGATTTAAATCGGATAAAATGCAGTTATTATTTGGATTTAAAATTTCAAGAGGAATGGGGGGTGGCGAGTACGACCCCCCCCCATTTTCTCTGGGTCTTAATAGTTTTATTCTTATTGAGTCTATATATTTATGCAACCAGATGACATATAAACTTTTAATTTTCCAATTTGTAAATCAGGGTCAACTTTGAAGTGTCACAACGACTTGGGGTTTGATTTTACCGCTCTAACTAACTTTTCTGTAGCTCTTTACATGTACATTATATCACTTTACATGTACATTATAGAGCCCTTTACATGTACATTATAGCACTATAAAGTACTTTTTGCTAGTAGATTTACATAGCTAGATAGATAGATAAAGTTTATTGCTATTTGCTAAAATACATGTAACTGTGTACAGAACGAGTTTACACTTACAAATTGATAATTATTTGAACATAGCTGAAAACTTTAGAATGGGATATCCTTAATCCCGATCGGATTAAAGGGAGTGACCGGCAATGTAAGGTAATTGAACTGAGTATGCAGTGTTGTCGAAAACTTCTTTAGGATTCATTTGAGACATATTTCACTTTTTAAAGATCTGTAAATCCTGAGTTTGAGCACAAATTCGACGTTCAAAACTCCTAATTTGGGGGTGGATACGCTTTCAGAATTAGTTTTTTTTAAATTATTAAATAACGACAACGAAAAATAAAGTAAAAATTATACAGTAATCTAATTAGATGGCTAGATATTTCACAAAAGAAATTTGTCAATAAATCAATGCTAAAATCGATTATTTCGTTTTCATTATTATATTGAATTTATAATTTCCTTTGAATTTATTCGCAGATTTTTTCAAATTCTTTAAATGTCGTCTTTTCAATAATAATTATAGAAAATCTGCGAACATCTTTGTGAATAACTAGAAACTAGAATAATGAGATAATAGAAACTAATAATTGAACAAGATTACTTATTTTCGATGATAAGATTAATTTTTATTTTCTCAAAATGTTCCTAAACATGACGTCTGTAGTTTATTGTAGAATATTTTTACATTTCATGTCGGCGTTAATTAATAATTTAAAAAAAACTAATTCTGAAAGCGTATCCACCCCCAAATCAGCAGTTTTGAACGTCGAATTTGCGCTCAAACTCAGGATTTACAGACTTTTAAAAAGTGAAATATGTCTCAAATGAATCCTAAAGAAATTTTCCACAACACTGCGTCCTCAGTTCAACTACCTTACATCGAATTTGTTTAAGAGCTTGAGACCTTTCCATCACAGTTTGATCTTACATAGTTTATAACTTGAAATATCAAAGGTTTACAACATCAGGTTTCAAAGATAAATAAATATGAAAATTCTAGTTCGAGTAATTAGTTCCTTTACAATCTAATTCCAGCTGAAATCCAATAAACATTAATCCAAAATTCTACTTACTAAAAAATTGGACTGAAAATAAATAAAAGCTGTAAATTCAAACAATAACAAATATAAAATGGCATTTCTAAAAATTCTAATTATTATCAAAATCAAAATTAATAAACACAGTTAGTTAAAAATCTAAACATTTGAAATACAAAAATAGCTCTTTTCTTCTTTTTTTTTTGACTGGTAATTCCTCTTTTTTATCATAACCATTCATACCATTCATTGTTAGCAAGGATCTATCTAGTCGATAAGGTATGTTCTAAATGATAGGTCTATCTATATACACCTTTAAAAATAATTCATTTATTACAGAACTAATAAAGCAAAGTTAGGATGATGAAAATAAGTTAAATGTCATACGAGAAAATGAGAATATGAGATTTCATAACAAATTTATTTTTCAAATAGTTCCAAATTTTATTTTTGATCATTTATTATTTAAGAAGGTTCCAAAAATGGTGGACAATGATTGATTGTGTAAATCCAAGATTCCTTGTCTGTTTGTATTCATGGGTCTTGGTAATATCGAAGGTGAAAAAATAAGGAACATTTTATCTTTGATAATTTCTTGGGATGGGTTTGGAATCCATCGTTAACCCTATCTTGATGGGAGAGGGCGGGGGAGTGGGGATTTCATGCTACTTGCATAAAATTTTCTCTTCAGTTACTCAATTGTCTTTAAAATACAAATATTTCAAATTATCAAGGTGGCGGCAGGAGGTTCCGTAGTCGGCCACTAAACAGTGGTGGCAGCAGCAGTAGCAGTAGCAGTCTTCACACTGATACTAGTGAACAGGTTAGGTTTATTAACAACAGGTGGCGTTGATAACAGTTTATTTTATATTCACCTTTTTCACATTTAAAAATATAATATTTTCCAACATATAGCGGGAACATTAAAAGTTTCAAAATTCATAAGAATTTTTTTTTCTCATAACTGCTAAAAACTGAGCATCGTAATACTGCACACAGATTAAACACTTCAATACATTTTGAAAAAAAGTTCATTATTCAAAAATGCTTTCGCTAGTTCAATATTACAAACAAAATTTTAGTAATTGCTATCAGTCTCAGTATAGGTTAAAATTAGAAAATTAAGGTGTCTCATACTTTGATTCACATTTTTTATTTTTATTTTTAGATAAATCGTTTTCAGGATCTCTCTGGTGCACGTAAAGCCGCGCAAAGTTCTTTTGAAAAAAGTTTTTCAACTCCAGATAGGTGACATTATTCAACTCCAGATAGGTGACATTATTCAACTCCAGATAGGTGACATTATTCAACTCCAGATAGGTGACATTTTTTATAAAAAAATAAAGAAAAGAAAAAATGTCAGTTCTCTTTTTTTCTTTTAAACTTTTTTCATTTGGGTCATTTTAAGTACAGGGCGATTTTTTCGCTGCAAAGCAAACTGGGACAGTACACATACAGATTATATAAAGCAAACTGGGACAGTTCAAATACAGACTATATAAAGCAAACTGGGACAGTACACATACCGACTATATATAGCAAACTGGGACAGTACACATACCGACTATATATAGCAAACTGGGACAGTACACATACAGACTATATATAGCAAACTGGGACAGTTCAAATACAGACTATATAAAGCAAACTGGGACAGTACACATACAGACTATATAAAGCAAACTGGTACAGTACACATACAGACTATATACAGCACACTGGGACAGTACACATACAGACAATATACAGCAAACTGGGACAGTACACATACAGACTATATATAGCAAACGGGGACAGTACACATACAGACTATATATAGCAAACTGGGACAGTACACATACAGACTATATATAGCAAACTGGGACAGTACACATACATACTATATAAAGCAAACTGGGACAGTACACATACAGACTATAATTAGCAAACTGGGACTGGGGACGTGCAAAGCTAGGTGACATTATTCAACTCCAGATAGGTGACATTTTTCAACTCCAGATAGGTGACATTTTTTATAAAAAAATAAAGAAAAGAAAAAATGTCAGTTCTCTTTTTTTCTTTTAAACTTTTTTCATTTGGGTCATTTTAAGTACAGGGCGATTTTTTCGCTGCTAGAGGAAGCAGAAAAGTTCAACATACAGACTATATAAAGCAAACTGGGACAGTACACATACAGACTATATATAGCAAACTGGGACAGTACATATACAGACTATATAAAGCAAACTGGGACAGTACATATACAGACTATATACAGCAAACTGGGACAGTACACATACATATTATATATAGCAAACTGGGACAGTACACATACAGACTATATAAAGCAAACTGGGACAGTACACATACAGACTATATAAAGCAAACTAGTACAGTACACATACAGACTATATATAGCAAACTGGGACAGTACACATACAGACATATAAAGCAAACTGGGACAGTACACATACAGACTATATAAAGCAAACTGGGACAGTACACATACAGACTATATAAAGCAAACTGGGACGGTACATATACAGACCATATATAGAAAACTGGGACAGTACACATACAGACTATAATCAGCAAACTGGGACTGGGGACGTGCAAAGCGCCGCCTTGTTATTAAAATTTCATTAAGCAAAACGCCGGATGTTCTAGACCTGCTGTTACTTAATTACTATTATATTCAGTGATATACGAGATGTACTTGACTTACTGAAGCTGACTTATATAATTCAACGAACTGGAATTGCTACAGCTCAAGTACAGGTACACATTTAAAATAACATAAAATAAAAAACAATTGCTTGAAGGAAGGTACTATCAGTCTTAATTTAAATGACATGTATATTCACAACGGTACTCTTTTAACTTTTGTGTCTGGTGCAAATATGTGAATCCAACAATGGGATTATGTGTATCTATGTGAATCCAACAATGGGATAATGTTTATCTATGTGAATCCAACAATGGGATAATGTGTATCTATGTGAATCCAACAATGGGATACTGTTTATCTATGTTAATCCAACAATGGGATAATGTTTATCTATGTGAATCCAACAATGGGATAATGTGTATCTATGTGAATCCAACAATGGGATAATGTTTATCTATGTGAATCCAACAATGGGATAATGTTTATCTATGTTAATCCAACAATGGGATACTGTTTATCTATGTGAATCCAACAAAGGGATAATAATATACTCCACCTAGTATATTATAATATACTCCAGCTAGTATATTATGATATACTCCAGCTAGTATATAATAATATACTCCAGCTAGTATATCATAATATACTCCAGCTAGTATATAATAATATACTCCAGCTAGTATATTATAATATACCAGCTAGTATATATTAATATACTCCAGCTAGTATATTATAATATACTCCATCTAGTATATAATAATATACTCCAGCTAGAATATTATAATATACTCCAACTAGTATATAATAATATACTCCAGCTAGTATAAAATAATATACTCCAGCTAGTATATAATAATATACTCCAGCTAGTATATCTATATATAAATTTGGCTTGTCTGTTTGTCTGTCTGACTGTTTGTATCCAATAAACGTCAAAACGGCTGAACCGATCGGGCCCAAATTTTTTTATGTATTTTACATAAAATATAAATTTAATGTAAAAAGATTGAATAATTGGCAAAACGAGACCAAGAATATTTGTAATGTAAAATTCAAATATAATTATAAACTTTCCAAGAAACCTTTAATGTCGTTTTTCAAAATGTATTTTAAAACTGTATGAATATTAAGAAATGTCTCTATATTCGAACAACACAAATGTAAACGGAAAAATATTTAATAATATGTAAATTTAGTAAACAAGTAAGTTATTTAGCATCATAAACTCTTAGTTTCCGATAACAATAAGATAAATTTATTTTATTTTCATGCTAATAATATTTACATTACATCTATCAATAAATCAAAGCTATAAATTTGATTTTTTTGATAAATTGAGTCGTAAATGAATAAAGGATTAAGCAGCTTGATCAATGTTTCATCAATAAATAAGGGTAAATGTGTTATGAAATATATAAATGCCAATATTTCATAAATGAACTGAATAATAATATTTCATAAATGAACTAAATGATAATATTTCATAAATGAATAGATAATAATATTTCATAAATGAAATAAATTGTCAATATTTCATAAATGAACTAAATGATAATATTTCATAAATGAACTAAATGTTAATATTTCATAAATGAACTAAATGATAATATTTCATAAATGCTAAATGATAATATTTCATAAATGAATTGAATAATAATATGTCATAAATGAACTAAATAATAATATTTCGTAAAAAACTAAATGCCGATATTTCATAAATGATCTAAATTGTCAATATTTCATGAATTTTACAAATCAACCAAAGGATAATGTTTTGTGAACGAATTAAGCTGAAAGTAGATAAATGAAGGCAACTGCAAACTATCTGAAAACTTTGTATGTACTAACGGAAAAACAGAAAACTTTTAGAAAGAAAGAAAAAGATTTTTTCATAATTTGTCCTTTTTACTTCCTACCTTGCAATAGCTTAAAAAAAAGTTGATACGTAATACAAATTGTATTTTGTATTTTTTAATTGAGCTTCGTAAAATAGAGCTAAAGTCACTCAGTCTTTTTGTTGTTTCCATTAGGTCTCAGTTGCCAACATAAAATGGAAAAAAATTAAAACTTATTTTTCAGACATATTTATTTATCATTTAAATGTCGTTATTTTAACAAAATGTGTAAATATAGCCAATCCTGAACAGAAATAGGTTAATCACGAATAGAAGAGATAGGAATGAATAGTGGGACACATACCACTGGGGAATAGAAAGAAAACATCTCAGCAATGTGTATTAGATGTTATTATAAAGCAAATAGTTTTTTAAAATCTCATTGTTGTAAGAAATGGGCCTGTTTACACTGTGTAACATTTAATCCTATGTTATCGTTACAATCCCAGACATAAATCCTAGGGAAATCAAGATCAATCCTTGCCCCTCATCTTGGAGGGTTAATACAAGACTTTACTTTCATTCCCAGTACTAATTCATAATTTACCCAAACCTCTGATCTTGTGTATAATATCTATCTCTCAATATCTTGAATAAGTGGGTTTATCAATCTACATTTTATTGGTACAAATATATCAGTCAATATCTATTTAAATTAAATCATATTCCATATATCTGTAGAGTCCCTCAGCGGTAAGACAAGTCTCCACTAGCTCTTAAATAGGAAGAGTCCCTCAGCGGTAAAGCAAATCTCCACTAACTCCTATATAGGAAGAGTCCCTCAGCGGTAAGACAAGTCTCCACTAGCTCTTATATAGGAAGAGTCCCTCAGTGGTAAAGCAAGTCTCCACTAACTCCTATATAGGAAGAGTCCCTCAGTNTCTAACCATAGAAACACCTGGAATATTAGAGGGTTTAGGGAGTTGAACCAGCTGTATAGAGGTGGAACTACATCTCTCTGATTCTCTTGTCTGTTCTATAGCTCTAGTGATCCTCTGAGTCTCCAGTGTTTCTAACCATAGAAACGCCTGGAATATTAGATGGTGTAGATAGTTGAACTAGCTGTGTTGAGGTGGAACCACATCTCTCTGATCTGTGGTATTCCTTGGATCTGTTGTATTCCTCTAATGTGTTGTATTCATCTGATCTGTTGTAAACCTGAGTATCAGACTCATTAATGGTTTATTGATGTATTCTTCTGATCTGCTGTAAACCTGAGTATCAGACTCATTAATGGTTTATTGATGTATTCTTCTGTATAATGTATTCCTGAAGATATGATTGTGTAGATACAATCATATAAGTCCACACGTTGTACACCTTCTGAGAGCTGTCCATGAAGTGCCTGTCCCCTAGCCTTTGGTGACCAAACGGAGCTTGGGCTCATACGTCTGTTCTATTCATGGATCTGGGGTGCACTGCTGAATCTTAATGAATCAGTTCAGGTTAACTGCTCCGCATTCATTAAAAGAAACAAATAGATAAAGGTGTGAGGCTGGGGAAGGGTGTTAGCATGAGTCACCTTTACTTTAAATATTACAACTGCAAACTTGGTTTGTTTGTTGTTTATTGGACTACTAGCTGAAGGACCCGGCGTTGCCCATGGAAGTTTTAAAAATCTAATTGAAAAAAAATTATTTTTTTAAGAAAAACAGTTTTGATTTTTGAACTAAAAAATTTCGAATTTTTGAAGAATTTTTTTTTTGAATATTTTTAGCCTATGTAAACCCCGGGTTATTGAAGGGTTCCCTCAAAAAAATTCCGCCCATTCGGTCCAGCTGTTTAGTCAGCTATAGCTGACATACAAACAAAGAAACTAAGTCTTAGTCAGATGCTCTAATTTTCTAATTCCTGTTTCTTAGCAACCTACTGTCGTAGACCTTAGATAGTTTAAACTATGAATTATGTTTATTCAAATAATCTCAGTTTGAACTATCGAAGGTATCTCAAGGTACTTACACGTGCCAAATTACTTTGTTTGTGTGAAGGTTAAAATTGATATAAGTGGTTTAACCTACTCTACATAGTTCAACCATACTTCAGACCATTCTTTTATAAATTTGGGTCCTCATCTCTGACTTTCCAAGATTATGGAATAAATTAGATAAATAATATTTATGTTTATTTAATTTGTTTTTTTTAGACTGTAAACCGAACAGCAGATGCCATTTGGAACACTCTACGGATCAGCCTGACCGACAGCCCATTATTAGGTAAATAACAGAAATTTCTAAGTGGAAGATGGTTCATCTGTTAACCTGTTATAAATTTCCTGACCA